GGGACACCATTGCACACCCTCAACCCCGACCACAAGTCCCAAAAGACCACAAGCAGGCCCACTGGGATAGCCCCATAATGGAAAAGACTGTCACAGCAATGATTGACAACGCTGATGCTGAAAACAAAGCCCGCCTCCTAGCGGTAACAGCACCCCACGCCGGGGATTTTTTATTTGCTGTGCCCAATGCAGCCCTGGGAACTCGCCTCAGTCATGACGCTCTCCGCATTGGAGTTGCCCTTCGCCTTGCCGCCCCCATCCTCACCGAACATAGGTGCATCTGCGGAACTGCGATGGCAGACCAATATGGTCGTCATGGTCTGGTATGTCGTAAATCACAGGGTAAAATTGCAAGACATGAAGAAGTCAACGACATCATCAAGAGGAGCCTCCCCGCTGCCCGGCACAAAGAGAACCACACTTATCCAGACCTAACGACCCTCAGAAGCGCCCTGATGGGGTCACCTTGCTACCTTGGAAGGATGGTAAGCAAGTGGTATGGGACTACACGTGCGCTGCCACACTGGCCAGTACCTACCTCCACTACAGCACACGTGAAAGCGGTGGTGCTGCTTCTTTCAGGGAATCTCAGAAAATTATTAAATACAGAGGTCTAGCACACTGCTACAGCTTTGTTCCGATCGGCTCGGAGACCCTCGGTTCGTGGGGAAAATGTGCATTGAAGTTCCTGAAGGAATTGGGGGACAAATTGATCAGCGCTACAAAAGACCAGAGAGCAAAAAGTTTCTTGTTCCAGCGCCTCAGTGTTGCGATTCAGAGGGGAAATGCCTGTTGCGTCTTGGGCACTAGTCCAACTTCAGAGGAATTCGAAGAAGTGTTTGACTTGCAACAATGATCGAACCCGTCTGTGACATTCATCAATGTTTCCCATTGTTGTGTTTTTCAAGAGATCCATAACCTTTAAGCACCTTTTTGCATTATTATTTTTGTATCAACCCATGTATATCTTGTAACCATCAAATGCATAATAAAGCACAAAAAATAAAAAAGGAAGGGGGTGGTAGGAGAAAAGCACACAGAAACTGTATTGGAGGGGATCTAAACATTCCCTCTAATGCGTTATGCGTGGTTTCCTCCGAGGCTATGGGTCCCCCTTCTTCCAGCTAGAGGTGGTACTCTATCTAATCCTATATATATATGTATATATATATATATATATATATATATATATATATATATATATATATATATATATATATATATATATATATATATATATATATATATTCGAATGTGACCGAAAAGGGTAAGATTAATAATTCTAACACGAATCTTCTCAATATTTCTTACGTTTTTCTTCACTGTCGATGGTAATTGAAAAAATTAACTCTCCAAAATTCATTTTTTTACACTTTTATTTCCGGCCTTTTTTTAGGGATGTTCCTGTGCGGGCCCTAAGCCTCTGGCTGGCCCACTAAGTGTTGCTTGTTTCTGTTTTACTTGAGCGGAGTAAGAGTATTTATGACTCATATGGTCGCTTCAGTAAGATTTTGTCCCACGTGTTTAACAACTTCTTCTGCTCTGTTGAATCTAAGATGAAATCTTTATGGGTTTGTAACACTGCACTGTGTTAGATAATGTTCCAATGGTCTGTCGGGCATTTCTCCACAGTGTTGACATTTCCTCTTAACTTCCGGAACCTGTAAGCCTATTTCCCATGCACATGGGTATCCAAGCCTGATGCGATGTAAATGCACTTCTGTTGTTCTACTGCTCCCTTTCATGAAGCTAAGTGGTTCGTAGTTGGTTAAATTCTTGTACTAACCCGCAGATCCTGATGTTGCAACTGCTGTGTTGTGGTCATTGTACATCTTTTGCATTGCTCTGTTTCTAATTACTTTCTTAATCTGTGATATGTAAATGTCTATATTTCTTCTCTTATTTGCAAGTTTTGCAGCTTCGTCTACAATCTCATTTCCTATTATTACCACATGACTTGGCACCCAGTTGATAAATACCCGTCGGCCTTGTCGTTTGAGTATTTGCATTAATGATATGACATTTGTGATCAGACGGATGTTATCACATATGTGTTCTTGTTGCAAGGTTTCAATGGCAGGTCTCGAATCTGTATGTATGATAGGATGTTGTCGGTGTTCAGCAAATTTGCCGCCTAGAAGCATTTCGTAAGGCTTCTTAAATTTTCAAAGACTTGGTTTAAACATAACATACATCATGCTTTTTATTTGTTTTGGGTGAGGTGGTATTATTTGGGTATGAAAGGCATAAGAATGAAAGTAACTGCAGAAAGCCTATTGGCCCATACGTTCTCTTTCTGCTCCTATGTTGGTTTGGGGTCTTGAAGTGGGTAGAAAAGAGTTATGCGTTAATTGGTTGTTGATTGCTTGTATTCACTTTTTGATGTGTAGTGCCTGACTGATGTCGAGTCTCCTGCTGTCGCTGTATCTATCGATGATTTCTGTGTTGTTTGTTAAGATTTCTTTGGTGATGGTCTGGTTGTGAAAAGAGATCATATGTTCCTTGATGGAGCCCTGTTGTTAGTGCATTGTTAATCGCCTAGAAAGAGACGTTGTTGTCTTGCCTATATACTGAGTTCTTTGGGGCTTACAGTTCCCAAGTGGACATATGAAGGCATAGACGAAGTTGGTCTCCTTCAAGGCGTTCTGTTTGGTATCTGGGGAGTTTTTCATGAGTAGTTGGCCGTTTTTTTTTTTTTTTAGTAAATTGTCAATTATATTTCTGATTTTTGTCTGTAGGGGATAATGTTCCTATTAATAGTATCTTCCATGACACTTTCCTCTGTTTTATGAGCCGTCGAAAAGAAGTTCCTGTAAAACAGTCTAATAGGGGGGTACAGGTTTTGTGTTAGTTGACTCTTCAGAGGTTGCATGGCGTTTCACCTTTCTTTTTATGAATTAGAGAAGCCATTGTCGACTAAGACCTGCCTTACCCTATAGAGTTCTTCATCGACTTGCTTCCATCCTGAACTGTGACTGAGAGCCCAGTCGACTTAAGCATTGACAGCACTCCTCTTGTACCTGTCTGGGCAGTCATTATTGGCATTGAGGCACATTCCTATGTTTGTTTCCTTAGTGTAGACTGCAGTGTGGAAGCCTCCGTTCCTTTCCGTGACTGTTACATCTAAAAAGGGCAGTTTCCCGTCATTCTCCATCTCGTAAGTGAAACTTTACACAGAATTCTGCTCGAATGTCTTCTTCAGCTGCTGCAGACCTGGCATCAGGTACCTGCATAAAAATGTAGTCGACATACCTGCAGTATATGGCGGGTTTCAAGTCCATGTCAACTAAGACCCTCTGCTCTATGGTACCCATGTAGAAGTTTGCAAACAGAACACCTAGGGGAGAACCTATGGTGACTCCATCTACTTGCTTATACTTGTGCCCATCTGAACCCAAGAAGGGTGCCTCTTTAGTGCAGGCTTGGAATATCCTGCACTAAACATACACTTCTTTCTTCTACACATATAGTCCTAGGGATCATTCAGGCTTGTTTGCATACACTTCTTTGTATGTTTTCTTCTATGCATATAGTCCTGGGGACCATTCAGGCTTGTTCGCATACACTTCTTTGTATGTTTTCCGGTATGTCAAGAGGAGGATGTTTGAGAAGATCCCAGACGCTGCCTTAATCGATTTAGTTATGACATGGTAAAAGAATTGCAACCGGGAAATCATCCTGATTTATCGACGGATCCTGCAGTTTCTCCGAGACACAAACCAGGGTTTTGTCTCAGAGTCGATTAAGGCAGCGTCTGGGATCCTCTCGGATGTTGGTTCGAACCCTCGTCACAGCTCTTGTGGATTTGTTCATTTGATGCAACACGCTATTGTGATTTCTGTGTGTAATGAAGTAAAGGCAAAAAGGTAGAACAGCCTATTGACATAGCTCGAGTGCATGGGAGAATTGCGTCAAACCCTAGTTTAAAAGTGCACTGTGACAACCAAAAGTGTTTCACGGTTTGTTAAATTGACATTGTAAATAATGAAAATCAGGGTAACCCCTTAACAAAACCTCTTCTAAGCCTAATAAATTTCATATAAATCATATATAAGGATTAGGATAGGTCAGATTACCTGCGAGCCAGTAACACTTGTGGGCTCAACGAGTACAGGAAGATAGTGACTTATCAGAGGTCCCCCTATATGCCCCAATTATATTTTCTAGCTGGATTTTATAATTCATCGAAGTTTTGGTATTGACGGCTTCTGCGGATAGGCTGGTCCATGGGTTGATATCCCTGTAGGTGAAAATGCATTTCCTGTTCTCAGTTCTACATTGTGGCCTGTTGAGCTTGAAGCCGTTGTTCCTTGTTTGTGTTACATCTGACCTTTTGAAGATGTTGTATGGGTCAACACTCTACAAATTGATTAACATTTTAAAAGTTTCGATGAGATCAACCCTGTCATGTCTGATTTGCAGTGTTGTTAGCCCTGTGGCTCCTCAACTGTTCATGATATGAAAGATGACTTAGTTCTGGAATGATTTTTGTTGCCCGATGTTGCATCTTCCCCAGTTCAGCTGTCTTTCTGAAAGATGAGGTCTACATGTTTGGCTATTATAATCCAAGAGCGGGGCCCACCGGAGATTTATGCAGTTGAATAACTATTTTGTTTTCATTAAAAATCAAAGGTACGCTTGATTTTTCTAAGAGTTTGGTTAGCTTTTTTTATTGCTGCTCCTACCTGTTGTGCAACTTTCAGTGAATGATGGATTCTGACTCTAAGGTCCTTTTCTTCATCAGTATGCTACAAGGAAGTGTAATTGATTTTGTAGTTGTGACGTTGTTTTGTTAGTAATCACATTAAAAGTCTTGCATTTTTCGATATTAAAAAGCATTTACCAGCCTTTTGACTATTTGTGGAGTTCATGTAAATCTCTTTGTAAGGCAACAATATCATTTTCACTTCCCACTTTACCATACCTTACCTTGAGGTTACCTTGAGGTGCTTCCGGGGCTTAGCGTCCCCGCGGCCCGGTCGTCGACCAGGCCTCCTGGTTGCCGGACTGATCAACCAGGCTGTTGGACGCGGCTGCTCGCAGCCTGACGTATGAGTCACAGCCTGGTTGATCAGGTATCCTTTGGAGGTGCTTATCCAGTTCTCTCTTGAACACTGTGAGGGGTCGGCCAGTTATGCCCCTTATGTGTAGTGGAAGCGTGTTGAACAGTCTCGGACCTCTGATGTTGATAGAGTTCTCTCTCAGAGTACCTGTTGCACCTCTGTTTTTCAACGGGGGTATTCTGCACATCCTGCCATGTCTTCTGGTCTCATGTGATGTTATTTCTGTGTGCAGGTTTGGGACCAGCCCCTCTAATATTTTCCACGTGTAAATTATTATGTCTCTCTCCCGCCTGCGCTCAAGGGAGTACAGATTTAGGCTCTTTAGTCGGTCCCAATATTTATCATATATCTTATGGTAAACTCCTAAGTTTACCTAAAAACTCCTAAACTCCACATCTGCAAATTTATTGATATGGTTTTATTATTGACGCGTTAGCTTAAGTTATAAGCTTATACCTTGCTTATATTTGGCCACATTGAAGTTTGTTTAGGTTGCTTTTTTCTGTTTCAAATTATAAGTAAATTATTTTAGGTGAATTATGAATCTTAATTTTAAAATATGATATTATTATTATTATTTTGAATGTGCTTTTATTATCATTATCATCTTGAATATTTAATATTGTTTTAATTATTTATATAATTTCAAAATTACCTTTCTTCTTTTATAATTGTTTTTAAATTGTGATTTAAATCTTAGGCTAAGACTAGTCAATGGTCAGGTTATCCAGCTTCGTATTTCCTATATAACACATTCAGTTACTGGCGGGTGCACATGTTTGGCATTATTTTTCATTTTAGTCAATTTCTAACAAATACAGTTAGTGGTAGTGTGGGGGGGGGGAGGCAGCGACTGGTGGCTCTATCACTCTCCTCAACTGGAAAACCTTTCTTATCATCTCCGTGTTGACAAGATGTATTTTTTACGGTAGTAATGATGTATTTAACGAAACCTGTTATGTTATGATGGGTTTTTGCTCTTATGGATGATAATAGGTCATGTTTATGATGTCCACCACCATGACCATGAAAATGGTCTTGGTCATGGTGGTGCCTGGTAACACAACGGTCTTGGTCATGGTGGTGCCTGGTAACACAACGGTCTTGGTCATGGTGGTGCCTGGTAACACAACGGTCTTGGTCATGGTGGTGCCTGGTAACACAACGGTCTTGGTCATGGTGGTGCCTGGTAACACAATGGTCTTGGTCATGGTGGTGCCTGGTAACACAACGGTCTTGGCATCTAATGATACATATTAACACCGGGTCTTGTTTATAAAGGTATTGGTAAAACTTACCTTAGAAGCAGTTGATATTTTGCATCAGCAACTTAAAGTCTTGGGACCTTGGGGTACTTCGGCCGTGCGTGAATCGTTAATTCTGGCCCATGGCATTTTAAGGTACCACCAGATCACCAGACAATTAAGATACCAGTACTACCAATTCTTGCAATAAATATGCTATAAAGGACTAACTGGACCAATGACTGTTGATACCAGTACTGGTTTGGTGTTAATTTATGAAAAATATAATGGCAGTAATAATTGTTATTTATTTCTAAGTATATAAACTTTGCTCTTGTATAATCGTTATGTGCTACCTCATCAGGACACTAAAATAATACAATGGAAACCACTAATGTATTTATTGAATACAGTTCTCTGGCTGCTGTTGGAACCGAAATCTATGTCGAGACTACGGGCTCACCATAGCCCGTGCTAATTGGAACTTTTTGTTCGGGTAGCGAATCTTAAACAACAACATGGTCAGATCAAGTAGCCTATGGAACAAAGTTTTCGAATAGTATAGACTAGAACCTTGAACGTCAGCTTTGTCGAAATCTTGTACCCCACTGTCAAGGGACCATTTTAAGTCTGATCTAAGGAAAGGATCTGATCATGTATTACATGATATTAGTACAGAATGGTCTGAATGGATTTGGCAGGCATGTTGTAGTTGAGGTAAGAGCCTGAGCCATCATCCACGGACACGTCAATCCCGCCATCACCTCTGCAACCAGAACCAATGGCGTTAACTATTATGTGTAGAATATTTGACTGATGTATAAATTCCTAGTGTTTAATGAAATTTTTGCCAAGTTGTAAAGGTTTAGATAATTAAGGTCTAGCTGCAAGGATCGTTAAAGCTGCAATCTTCTATTCCTCTGATCCTTATATATAACATAACCTTAAAAAAATTTAATATTTTACCCAAATTAATTCATATTCACCGGGGCAATCCTTTCATTATTCTTTTTATGAACTACTACTCCGCCGAAGTAAAACAGAAACAAGCAACACCTAGTGGGCCAGCCAGAGGCTTAGGACCCGCGCAGAAATATCCCTGAAAAAAATACTACAGCAATATAAATGATATAAATGAGTTCCAATATCTCAAAACACTAGTTTGAATGTTCGTCAGGGGCAATTTAAAATAGCATCCAAGTTTCTTACGTGTTGAGGAGAACGACAACCCCGCGTCCCGATGGGTCGTTGAAGGCGACGGATTCCAGTGTCGTTTGTGTGGTGGACGACGTTATGCGCTCAGCACCAGGCAACACAAATTTGCTGAAGTGACCCAAAGCGTAAAACATTGGCTGCTTGTAGAATTCACCCGCCTCCTGAAGATATTATCATAATTTTTAGTGGTAAAATGACATGTAAATATATATTATATAATCCTAATCACAAACTTGCAGAAACACGCAAGCCGATTGTATTAGAAAGAACTCCTCTCGTGAAAGGTTCAAACCTATGACCGACAGGGGCAAGGAACCCCTTGACAAGTCCAGTACTCTGACCAACTGACCACCACACAATTAAAAGACATTGGAAGAGGAACCTATTTCTCCCAATTATATAATCCTTTTTAGTTTCAGGATTATCAAATTAATTAGTTAAAGGTTAGAATAATTAATGAAATTCCTGTGTTAATCTTCTTAATATATTGACACCTAGACCTTTTTTATGCCTATTAAACAATAATTCAGAAAATTTGGAAATTAAATATTTCGAAACGCAGTTGCTGTGATAGTTAATAATATTATAGTATTATAATACTTAAGCAAATTAGTGAAAACAAGAAGCTACACTAGAAGACGAAACTATAAATATAACTATATAGACCTAAGAACATAAGAACAAGGAAAACTGCAGACGGATCAGACCACCAGGGCTTCATGCACCTTGGTGTGTCCAGTATTTTCACCACTAGGCCACACTGACTGTTCAAAAGAATTAGAAGTTATCTGACCCTTAACCCAATTCCCAACAGCTCTCGGTGACCTTTTTTGGGCACATATTTCATCAAATCACTTCATCATGCTAGGGCCACACGAGTAACATTTATGTGGCAAGCTTGAATGGTCCCCAAGCTAATATGCAACAGAAAACTCCTCACCCCTGAAGGATTCGAATCCAGGCAGCCATTCACTTTGGCATGTCCAGTACTTTCACCACTAGGCTACACTAAATGTTCAAAAGAATTGGAAATCGTCTGACCCTTAACCAAGACATCTGCCTGACCCCGACAAAATTAATTATTAAGCACTATAAATGATAAATGTCTAATCTATGCTCGAAACAATCCAGTGATAGAAAATAGACGTATTGCACGTTTCTTAAATTCTTTTATATGTTTTTGTAAGTTAGTACACTGCCTTCCACTTCAGCCCGTCCTCATACCAAATTCATTACCATGATAAACCACACTTCCACCCAAACCAACTGGATAGTTATCTAGATATTTATGATAGTCTAATTCGTCCGAAAGCATATTACGGTTCCAGTAATAGTCTGTATGAAAACTGGCAAATGAACCTATATCATAAGCAGTGATTATTCTCAAGTTATAACTTTAATGTAATAAAAATCGTTGGTTTAATATATAACAAGTGCTTGCTGAAAGCGTTTTCTGTGAAGTATTTGGTTTTCTCTAAACAGAATTCATAGTTTTCGAATTATATATTTCACATTGTCAACAATACAATTTATTTACATAACCAAATGTAATGAAACTTATTGTTGACCAAACCACACATTAGAAAGTGAAGACGACGTTTCGGTCAGTCCTGGACCATTCTCGAGTCGATTGTGATTATTGATTGATTGATGAAGATTAAGCCACCCAAAAGGAGACACGGGCATGATAGCCCGTAAGTGGTGGCCCTTTTGAGCCATTACCAGTATCAAGAGCTGATACTGGTAACTTATAACTGCAGTCGCCATCACAAAAGAAATGCAGCATAATCTCCACAAGTGATGAACTTGAACTCCATGATTAACCGATGTCCATGATTAACCGATGTCCATGATTAACTGCATTAACTGCACTGTAGATGAAAGCGTCATCGATGAACACTGGTCGGTAGATCCTATGGTGACCAAATGGCGATTGATTTATTGATGAAGATTAAGCCACCTAAAAGGAGGCACGGGCATGAGTAGCCCGTAAGTGGTGGCCCTTTTGAGCCATTACCAGTATCAAGAGCTGATACTGGAGATATGTGGAGGTGCGACTGCACCCTGCGTAACAGGAGATGTCTCCCGTGACCAATTGGTTTGTTGTTGTTATAGATTGTTACTCGGAACAAGTTCCAAGTAGCACAGGCTATGGTGAGCCCATAACTTACCTGGCACAGGAGCGAGGCAAGTAGCACGACCTATGGTGAGCCCGTAGTGGACTTACCTGGCACAGGAGCGGTGGTGATTATTGAAAGGGGCGAGGCAATAAATAGGCAAGAGAGACGAAAGGTAAGGTGTAATAAAGGGGATAATAACAGGAATAAGAACATAAGAACAAAGGTAACTGCAAAAGGCCTATTGGCCCATGCGAGGCAGCTCCTATTTATACCTACCCAATAAGAAGTGGAAGTAATAGAAATAATAAGGAATAGTATTATAATATAGTAGGATTCTTATTATGTATTATTACTATTATAATCCTACTATATTATAATACTAAGGAAATAATAGGAATAAGCAAGGGATCGACATATTTCAGCCACGTTATTGAAACTCCTCGTCTGTTAATGAAACTTATCCTACTCAAACCTTAACCTAAAGTAGCCTAAACTTAACCTAACCATAGATAGAGATTTTTTTTCTATTTATTGTAAAACAAAATACATTTCAATATACATGCAATATAAAGGTATTGAAGCACCATAAGAAAAGTGAGCATCAGCTCCACACCACACAGCACCAAATACCATAAGTCAGAGATGCACTTTGAACATTACAAATTAACCTTAACAGCAAAAGACAGAAACAACAATGAACACAAAAGGACAATTAACACAGAGTACAAGGCTAAGAGAGCAAAGAACGTAAACGAGAAATACATAAACAGGACAAAAAATTAAATACATATGAACACACAATAAGAAACCGCACACCCAGACGGGGCATGCCAGTATTGAACAATAAACCACAAAAATGGACAAAAGAAAGACACCAGAAAACGGAAGTTACAAAACAGAAAAATAATGCAAAACACACACACACAAGACACCACAATACAAACAAACTACGCCGACCGGAACACACGGGATCCGGGAAACAAGGCGACAAACCACACCCCAAACAAACACATGAAAGAAAAGATCGGAACACGTAGGAACCGGCAAAGGAAACAAAAACACACACACACACAAACACGGACATGAGAAAGCACACACACACAAACATAACACCACAAGAACACAACACAAATGACAACATTCAAACACACAGGAAAAAACATAGCACCATACAAACAAAACACCGAAACAACTCAGAAACGAGGCGAGCCAAAAACATGGATACAAAACATACATACAGCAAACAAGGCACCAAGTACAAAATACAGGGAGTTATAAGGCAAACACGTACACTAAACATATTTATCCGGGAATTCCTGCGCCGGAAATCGCAAACAATAAGCCTCGCAAATCAGCATGACGTCATCGTGCACCTGGCTACCAGGAGACACACAAGGCCGAGGCATCAAATCCGGCACCCCACAAATAAACCCCTTTGCCCGCGGCACCCAAACAGTAGAGGAGCACCATGGGACCGGATGCACCCGTTCATTCAACGTGGGTTCCAAAGTTTTCGATGCAGGGACCACGACCCCGGAGGCCGCGACTACAGAGAGGGGTGACGCACGAGGGGGGGTCGAACACTGGGTGACGTACTAGGTTTATCACAGGGAGCCGCATTGGGGGATCCCGCAGGGGACGCAGACGCGCCATGGTCCCCGCCATCGGGCACAGGAGCAGAAGCCTCCCAGTGCACATCCTTCTTCAGTACCACGACGAGGTCACGATCACCAGGGGCAACCTCCCAAGGAGGGGAACCAGCAGCAGGAGGTGCATGGGGCATCACAAGAGGCAACACAGAGCCTCCTACAGCACCATCAATCACATCGTTATACTCGGCAGCCCACTCACGAGGGGGCGACACTCCGAGCCGACCGAGAATGCTTGGACACAGGTCGCTGATCATCCGAACTGTCGCCACCAGCAGGTGGCACTCGAATAGAGCCCTTGGCTGGCCGCACTACAATGTGCAAAGCGCGAGCCGACCCCGACACCCACATCACCAGCCGCACTTACTTGCGCGTCATCCAACACCGCATCCGTCCTCACACAAGGGGCACCACCCAGAACCGAGATATCCTCTCGTTCTGGCAAAGGAGGAAAATCCGCCTCATGGAACACGTTAACCCGGTCATACATCCGAGTGTTGCAGGCAGCAGTCAAATGTCCAACGTGGCCACACTTTAAACATGTCCGAGTCTGTCCACAGTAGTAGAAGCAGACCGTAAAGCTAGCGATCGAGAGAGAAGACACATTCCCACGAAGAACCATCTTAGCCGTCCTGTAGCCATTATTGAGTACCTTGACGTCTCCAGTCGTGTGCCTACACATACACATTATTGAGTCCACACGCCCATACCTGGCAAGAGCCCGACGGAGAAGATCCTCAGACATTTCAAACGGCTCATTCTTAATAGACACATATGTGTACTCCACACTCAAATTCGTCACAGTCACAGAGCCGAGACCTTTGCTCAGCCGCACCTCCTGATCCTCATACTGGTCGAGAAACTTCCTGAACAAGCCACTCTCGGCGAACTTCACAACCACACTGTCCTCAAGAACGACCTGAAATCTTCCACTTTCACGTCCATAACGTCAAACAGTGTTGCTTATGATTCCAATATCCACCCTACAGGTAAATATCAGCCCAGCCGAGTCCTTCCTCCTCACTTAAGTCCCCATACTGAGACTGAAAAACAGTCACCCCGCAGAGGCAACCACCACTCAGTAGGCAACCGACAATCGTCCAAAGTAAGCACCAGCCAGGAGCAGAGAGACATCAGGAACGACCGACTCGGCTGGTGGTTGGCACCACACTCCAAGAGTAGATAATTTTTTTTTTATTTATAAAAGAAAACCACAAAGAACAAACAGAAAAGCTACATACAAGAAAACATGAGTACATACGTGATACACAATACAGGAACACAACAGGCAAAAAACCCAAACATAAGAATAAGCAAAAGTGAAACATACAAGATACAAAGCATATAACAAACCCTAACACGGGCACAGAAGACAAGCTAAAAGCAATACAGGACACAAGGCATTAATAACAGAAAACAGAACCACACAGGGAACCGTAAGTACAAAAAATAAACAAATACAAAAAATAAACAAAAAATACACAAAAGGCACAAAAAACATGCAAACGGCCAAAAGGCCTTAAGAACACAAGTACAAAATATATACCACCACCACACTAAACACACTACTACAGCAGCACAATAGCACACCAGCCATGCATACTACACACAGAGCTGGAAATATATAATCACACCCAACCACACAGAACATATACAGAAAGACACAAACACACACAAAAACCGGAACACGCAGGAACCGGAAAACAAAACCCCCCGACCCAGACACACACGCAACCCCACCCCACACCCACGCACCCAGGCGCAAGTAACCCCACAACACACAACAGTCAACGAGGAGGATATTTCTCAGGAAACTGCCACGGTGGATACTTCCGTTCATAAGCCTCCCATATTAAATACTCCAGTTCGGTAGGTGAGCAGCCCTCATGACACCGCAGGTACTCCATATACTCGGGAATCTCCACATCCGGCAGAAGCGGTCACGCCCAACCACGGTACACAAAAGACGAAGAACCCTTCTTGGGCAGCATGGACACCGCCGCCGAGGAAGCAGGAGACACCGAAATAGCGGGCAGAGGCTGCAACACCGCCCCCGACAAAGCAGGAGACACAGAAGAAACGGCCGGAGACGTGTGGGGCGGCAGAACCGCCGCCGACGAAACAGGGGATGGGGCACGGAACCCTCAGAGCACGCAGCTTTCTTCAAGACCATCACCAGGTCGCCACGTCCACTCTCAACACCGCAAGGGGGAACCACCCCCACGGGGAATCGGAACCATCCGACGCGGGAAACGCACCCAAAGCAAGAGGTACCGGCCCCACACCGGCCCCCACCCATACAGCAGGAGCCACATCAGGGCCCACACCATCCACCGGACCCACACCAGCACCAGACGCACCATCCTCGCACTCCACAGAGGAACAGCTCACAGAAGAAACATCGACACTCGCCGCATCCTCACATTCCTCTGCCCACGATCGAGGAGGCGAAGCACCCGCATCCGTGCGTGAACGCTTGGGACAAGGCCGTTGATCATCAGAGCTGTCACCCCCTGCAGGAGGTACCTGAGAAGAGCCAGCGGTAGACTGCCCCTCAACCGGGGTAGCACGACCCTGCAGAATATCAGCCTCAACAACAGAGGGGACGAGACCGCCACCCACAGAGGAGACAGGAGAAGGAACAGGCGCGGCCGTAGGAGAAGGGTCCAACACAGGTGAGGGAGCCTGCAGAGACGTCGAAGGCAACAGAGGTGCAGAGTCGGAAACAGGTGCAGAAGCCGGTGGAAGCGACGAAACAGAGTGCGGGGGCAGAGTCACACACACCACCACCTCGTTGTGTACACCACCGTCCACACACGCCGGGCCAACAGCCACCACCAGGTCAGCAGGCGGCAGGGGAACCTCCCCACCCACTCTGTCATGAGACTGCAGGTCCCGCGCCACCAACGGGGGAAAATCCTCGTCCCGGAACAAATTAATAGGTGCAGCCACGACCCCAGTGCAATCAGCTGCCCCTCAACGCCACAACGAAAACATTGTCGAGGCTGTCCCACGTAGAACGCCCGCATAGTGTAGCCCATCAAAGTCACCGCGGAGGGAACAGGAGACTTGAGCCGCAGGCCGAGGGTCTGGGTCCCAAACGAGACTCCACGCCACCTGCCAGCAAAGACGGAGTTCATCCGGATGGAAACGAAAGTCCCAAACTGGCCAAAATACCGTCGAAGCAAAGCCTCCGTAAATTCAAATGGCACAACATGCAGGGCCACATACGTCACCGAACAACACCGGTCAGAGATAGGGACGGTACCACCATCCCCAGGGAGAGGAAGAGAGCGCCCATCGTAACGGGCCACAAAGTCACTATAAACAGCAGCGGAGTTAAACTTAACAAGTCCCCGATGGGTGGACAGCAGTTGGAGCCCGTACACATCTGCAACACGCACACGCAACATATCCAACGGGACAATCTCAAGGGCCAGGTAAGACGCCCGTCCAGAAAATTCCAGACCCACGGTCTGAGAGCGGTGAATAGGGGGGGGGGATTGTTCCCCATGGTGCCGACGCAACAACACCACCCTCCCACACAGAACGCTTAGCAACGACTGAGGAGCGCTTGGCGACCACGTCTTGACCCCCTGACGGTCAGGCCAGCAATCAGAGTAGATAATAGCACAAATTATGTAGTCGTTCCCAATCCCTTCCTTTAAGGGTATCTTCCTGAGGACTGGTTGTCCTCCTGTTTGGAAACTTGGCTTTATTCACTATGAAAAATTTTCATATTCACTAATTTCTTAAATTATAGTTTATATTTATACATATAAATATCGAGTAAAATAATAATTTGCATTATAATTTACCTTCAACCGATCCTAACCAATAGACAAGTTATCGTAACCCATCCTAACCATGACCCCTATTGCAAAAATAAGCCATCATTACGAAGTGTAAGATTCTGAAGCAACAGCTTATGGACTTAATTATTTATTAATTATAAAATTAATTCAACCTCAAAATTAATTATATGACAATTTAAAGAAACTTATACAAACAGCATTAACGATGATGGGAGCGTCGAGGAAGTTGTTAGCCCAGTTGGGTCCCCCCAGCGTGTCCAGAGCCATGTTCCAGTCCACCCAGCCCGTCGAGTGGTGGTTCACGGCCTGCATACACCAAAAGCAATCTTAGTAAGTGTTCATATTACAGACCATCCTCATCAAACAAGGCCAAATGTTCGTTAATCCAGGCACCGAACTCCCTGTTTATGAATAAAAAACGGTTTTAACCTACCCTGAGCCCAAGTTCATTCCATCTAGCAGTCGACCCCAAAGAAAATTGTTAAAACGATGTTCATTCAAAATATAAATTTTCTCAAATATAAATTAATATTGTTATATATTAGCATACTATGCATATTTAGGCATGTGTTAGGTTAGGTATTTAGATTCTGTAGGCGATTATTTGTAGTACGTGGGTGAAGCATATACAGCAATGTGGTTCAAACAAAATTCGTCAGTGAAGCACTTGTTCCGGAAGTGTTCGAACGTCATCAGTTGTGAGTCGTGTGTAAACCGCTTTTCATTCATAAACAAGGGGTTTGGCGGGTGCATGGAATCACTTTTGGGTCTTTGTTTGGAGGACGGGCTGTCACAACTGATGACGCAGCCCGTCCTCCAAACAAAGATCCAAAAGTGATTCAATGTACCTGCCAAACCACCTGTTTATGAATGAAAAACGGTTTACACACAACTCACAACTGATTTCGTTCGAACACTTCCGGAACAAGTGCTTCACTGACGAATTTTGTTCAAACCACAACGCTATAAATGCTTCACTGACGTACTACAAATACAACAGCCCGTCCTCTAAACAAAGATCCAAAAGTGATTCCATGCACCCGCCAAACCCCCTGTTTATGAATGAAAAGCGGTTTACACACGACTCACAACTGCTGACGTTCGAACATATCCGGAACAAGTGTTTCACTGGCGAATTTTGTTCGAATCACAACGCTATAAATGCTTCACCCACGTACTACAAATACAAATAATCGCCAACAGAACCTAAACACCTAACCTAACCTAACCTATGCCTATATATGCACAATATGCTAATATATTATAATATTAATTTATATTTGAGAAAATTCTTGTTTTGAATGAACAGCATGTAAACATTTATGAATGCGTCTGTGGGGGCGACCGCTGGATGTAATGGACTTGAGTCGAGGACGGGTTGAATACAAATAATCGCCAACAGAACCTAAACACCTAACCTAACCTAACCTATGCCTATATATACACAATATGCTAGTATATTATAATATTAATTTATATTTGAGAACATTCCAGTTTTGAACGAACAGCATATAAAAATTTATGAATGCGTCTGTGGGGTCGACCGCTGGATGAAATGGACTTAAGTTGAGGACGGGTTGGTAAATGCTACACCCACGTTCTACAAATACTCGCCTACAGAACCTAAATGCCTAACCTAACCTTTGCCTAAATATGCACAGTATGCTAATATATAACAATATTAATTTATATTTGAGAAAATTTCTATTTTGAATGAACATCATGTTAACAAGTTTCTTTGGGGGTCGACCACTAGATCGACCTAAACACCTAACCTAACCTAACCTATGCCTACATATTTACAAGATGCCAATATATTATAATATTAATTAACATCTGAGAAAATTCCCATTTTGAATGAACAGCATGTAAAAATGCATGAATGCGTCTGTGGGGTCGACCGCTGGATGTAACGGACTTGTTCTGAGGACGGGTTGCTGTTTGCATAGCAGCTCTGTAAATGATTCACCCACGTACGTCAAGTACAAATAATTGCTAACATAACCTAAACACTTAATCTAACCTAACGTACGCAAATCTATACATAGAACTGGGATATATAGAAATATTAATTCATACATGAGAAAAATTTAATACACAGTACTCTAAAATAGATGAATACATCTTGGGATGGTCTGCTGACGCTTTAACGAGCCTAGCCTGAGGAAGAGTCGCACAGCTTGGAAGAGCATGGCTAAAGGAAGGGTTGCCATATTACCACTGTCGCCAGCGAGACAGTTTATGTCGTTTTGAAATTATGCTTTTCACAAAGCATAATTTCACTGAGGGTAGCCAAACATGGCGCACGACATACCTGCGTGACGAAGTGAGCATACTCCTCGGCGCGGGCCCACGACCCCAGCATCACGCTCAAGGAGCCCTCAACGTCGTAACCTACAAGAATACCGAAATCCTTCATTCCAATGCACTGTGCAACCGTTTTACAGCAATTATTGACGTCCATAGAAAACCCATTTCTTGAAAAATCCTAAGCATTTTTAATATTCAGCATTCTTAATTAATAATTTATGCAATGAGGATGCAAGTTTGTGCTCTTATAAATATAAAAATAATAAAATAAATAATAATAATAATAATAATAATAATAATAATAATAATAATAATAATAACAATAATAAAATCTGTAGGAGCCATGATGAGGGTTTAAACCTATGTGGTGGGTGTTCCCAGGTACACGCTCTAGACAACTATGTCACAACATGGTAAAAGGATTGCAACTTGGGGTACTACTGCACTATGAGGATTCCACCGAAATCAAACTAGACTTTCACATAATCCCCCCCCCCTATGCACTTTGGCTGTCATCTAGAGGGTGCAATCTACCCGAGGTTACAAAAGTACCCCAGGTTGTAATCCTTTTGCCATGTCGTTGCATAGTTGTCCAGAGCGTGTGCGTGGGAACACCCACAACACAGGTTCGAACCCTCATCACGGCTCCTACGAATTTGCTCATTGACGCATCACGATAGTGTGATTACTCTCTGTGTAATAATAATAATAATAATAGAGAAGCTTACTACACTGCCATAGAGCTTGAATGATGGGTGAAGGAAGGACCCAATATGTGTGTAAGTGTATTAACAACCAAATTTTCGGATGTAACCTATACCCTTTCTGAAGGTGTTGTATACAATATTCTTGTACTTTATGCAATACAGCACCCTGAGAAAGGATATACAATACAATACCTTGGAAAGGATGTAGGTTACATCCGAAATTTTGGCTTTTAAAACACTTAAACATATATTGGAACTTTCCTTCAACTTCAATAATAATAATAATAATAATAATAATAATAATAATAAACAAAGAAATCACATTAACATGATGTATCAATGACAATATCAGTAGGAGCCACGAGGAGGATTTAAACCTACTAGCCAGAGAGAATGATGGGTCATTGGATGAAACCCAGATAGGCTTCAGTGGAAGCCTCAGGAACCCTTGAGGATTTAGTTGAATCCCAAGTTGCAAAGATATTAACCATGTTGTGGTGTGGGGGGTCTAGAATATGACTGGCTGTAACCAAAGCGAAGGTTCGAATCCTCCTCTTGCCTCGTACTGATTTTCCTATTGATACATCACGTTAATGTGATATCTTTGTGTATTTGAAGAGAAATATAGGGGGTAGAATTCCTAGACTACATGCCAGAGCGCGTGAGGGCATTGTGTGAAAAGATTCAATTGAATTCCAGGTTGCAATGCTTGTGACCATGTCGTGGTGTTGTGGTCTAGAGTGTTCCTAGGAGTACGCAGTGCATAGGTTCGAATCCTCCTCATGGCTCCTACTGGTTTTCTAAATAATAATAATAATTATAATAATAATAATAATAATAATATTGCATTCATAATAAGTGCATACAAGAGTTCATAAGAACGCAAAATGAAGCCATTACGCATAAAATTATAACATGAAGCCATTACGCAAAGCGTTTTATTCAGAACTTAGGAGAAAAATTATTAATAGGTATAATGGGGTAAACACTCACGTTTCCCACCTTGTGCTACCCACCCACCTAATTTAGTAGTTAAGACATGCAACTTCATCAGTATATGATGACCACACCTCACATCAGAAGATGGAAAGACGAAGACGTTTGGGTCCGTCCTGGACCATTATCAAGTGTGAGGAAGAGGTGATGGATTGACTGATGAAGATTAAGCCACCCAAGAGGAGGCACGGGCATGAGTAGCCCGTAAGGGAGGAGAAGAGGATGTTGTTGTTTTAGATTTAGCTACTCAGAACGAAATGTCCATGAATCATCAGCTATAGTGAACCTGTAATTGAGTTCGATTATTTGCGATAACCTTGTTACTGTGATATTTGGGTCACAGGTTTAAATGGAGGTGGGTTTTCTCCCGTTTCTTCTCCGCTTCTGTTTTAGCGCACTGGTTTTAGTCTTGTTTTAATAACTTTATCTTTTTATGGTGGAATATAGATGCACAATGTTCACTAGTGTGTCCCATTCTTAAACTGCTTTTATAATCATTGTAGTCGCAGTGGATTTTGCATTTAATGCAGCGCTCTTGTTGGATGAATGTTGAGTTTGATGCGCAGAGTTTCAGTTGCTTCACATTCCAGTAAGTAGTGTAATCACGGCGCCTCAGCATCTGTTCTTCAGATATAACATTCTTTAACTGTTGGGTTTATCACCTCCCAGCAGCACTTGTAACCAAGTCTGAGTCTGTGTATGACTACTGCAATGTCTCTAGATATATTTTTGCCAGGCTTGAAAGAGTAGTACCCATTGGCTTGTTCGTACCACATCGCAGTGGATCTTCCTCTGTGGCGACTTTTAATAGCTGGGAGTATTTTCTTCTTGATTTCCTCCTTATTCTGTGACAAACTTGACGGTATTTGAACCTGTACAACAGGTAGAGCAGTGGCAGTTTTTGCTAGTGAATCTGCCTTGAGAGGAGAGATTGATGTTAGTAAAGTATTGGGTATGTTAGTAAAGTCCTGGGTATGTTAGTAAAGTATTGGGTATGTTAGTAAAGTCCTGGGTATGTTAGTAAAGTATTGGGTATGTTAGTAAAGTATTGGGTATGTTAGTTAAGTATTGGGTATGCTAGTAAAGTATTGGGTATGTTAGTAAAGTACTGGGTATGTTAGTAAAGTATTGGGTATATTAGTAAAGTATTGGGTATGTTAGTAAAGTACTGGGTATGTTAGTAAAGTATTGGGTACATTAGTAAAGTATTGGGTATGTTAGTAAAGTACTGGGTATGTTAGTAAAGTACTGGGTATGTTAGTAAAGTATTGGGTATGTTAGTAAAGTACTGGGTATGTTAGTAAAGTATTTGGTATGTTAGTAAAGTACTGGGTATGTTAGTAAAGTATTGGGTATATTAGTAAAGTATTGAGTATGTTAGTAAAGTATTGGGTATGTTAGTAAAGTACTAGGTATGTTAGTAAAGTATTGGGTATGTTAGTAAAGTATTGGGTATGTTAGTAAAGTATTGGGTATGTTAGTAAAGTATTGGGTATGTTAGTAAAGTATTGGGTATGTTAGTAAAGTATTGGGTATGTTAGTAAAGTACTGGGTATGTTAGTAAAGTATTGGGTATGTTAGTAAAGTACTGGGTATGTTAGTAAAGTATTTGGTATGTTAGTAAAGTACTGGGTATGTTAGTAAAGTATGGTATATTAGTAAAGTATTGAGTATGTTAGTAAAGTACTGGGTATGTTAGTAAAGTATTGGGTATATTAGTAAAGTATTGGGTATGTTAGTAAAGTACTGGGTATGTTAGTAAAGTACTGGGTATGTTAGTAAAGTATTGGGTATGTTAGTAAAGTACTGGGTATGTTAGTAAAGTATTAGGTATGTTAGTAAAGTACTGGGTATGTTAGTAAAGTACTGGGTATGCTAGTAAAGTATTGGGTATGTTAGTAAAGCATTGGGTATGTTAGTAAAGTATTGTAGAAGGTTAGTAAAGTATTGGGTACGTTAGTAAAGTACTGGGTATGTTAATAAAGTACTGGGTATGTTAGTAAAGTATTGGATATGTTAGTAAAGTACTGGATATGTTAGTAAAGTGTTCCTTCAACCACATCTCATTTAACACAACGAATGAAAATCTGTAGTTTAGAGCCTGCAGTAAGGCACTAACATTATCATGGTACTTAGTTACAGATCTTACAATTAAATTAATTGATGAAACTTTATGATGATTTGCAAATAAATTGTTGGCAAGGTTTGCTGTATAATACTTACAGTTACGATCGTTATTAAAGTGTAGATTGTCATCGAGACTAGATAGGAGGCTTAGTTCAGGGGTGTATGAATTATTGCATCCAGAAAGCTGACAGGAGGGGGACATATTCAAACATTACAAACAAAAAATTATGCACACTTAAGAGTGCATGAAACTTATTAGTTATGGAAGAACAAAACACTAATAGTAAAATGTCCTCTTAATAATGAAAGGAAACACTGGTTTGACAATAACCTCAGCTAGAATTATTACTATGAAAACTAGGCAAGAGGGGTAGTTTACCTTATCTGCTTGATACCTGCTTGATAGTGTTCTTGGAGTTCTTCTTCTCCCTAAGCCAGGCCTGACTTGTGAGAGTTTGGTCCACCCAAGCTGTTGCTTGGAGCGGCCCGCAGGCCCACATACCCACCACAGCCCGGTTGGTCCGGCACTCCTTTAAGAAAACTATCTAGTTTTCTCTTGAAGATGTCCACGGTTGTTCCGGCAATATTTCTTATAATCGCTGGGAGGACGTTTAACAACCGTGGACCTCTGATGTTTATACAGTGTTCTCTGATTGTGCCTATGGCACCTCTGCTCTTCACTGGTTCTATTCTGCATTTTCTTCCATATCGTTAACGCCAGTATGTTGTTATTTTACTGTGTAGATTTGGGACCTGTCCCTCCAGTATCTTCCACGTGTATATTATTTTATATCTCTCTCGTCTTCTTTCTAGTGAGTACATTTGGAGAGCTTTGAGACGATCCCAATAATTTAGGCGCTTTATCGCGTCTATGTATCTTCTTCTTGAGGTTATCTTGAGATGATTTCGGGGCTATTTAGTGTCCCCGCGGCCCGGTCCTCGACCAGGCCTCCACCCCCAGGAAGCAGCCCGTGACAGCTGGCTAACACCCAGGTACCTATTTTACTGCTAGGTAACAGGGGCATAGAGTGAAAGAAACTCTGCCCAATGTTTCTCGCCGGCGCCTGGGATCGAACCCAGGGCCACAGGATTACAAGTCCAGCGTGCTGTCCACTCGGCCGACCGGCTCCCTATGCTGTATATGTTCTCTGTATTCCCTCTGTTTCAGCAATCTCTCCTGCTCTGAAGGAGAAAGTGAGCACTGAGCAGTACTCAAGACGGGACAGCACAAGTGATTTGAAGAGTACAACCATT